CCCCCCCTTTGCCATGGTTTGACTGCTGGAAGTGCCCTTATACAAGGAAACAAATAAACTCCTAATTACACAAGATTTGTACAAAAGAGAACAAAAGAGAAAGAAATAAAATCCTAATAGAATATGAAATAAATCTCTTAGTAGAATTAGGATCTTGCCAACAACAAGACTACAATGATGATGAAGATGCTAATGGAGGCTTTGAAAGACAATGAGGCCACGGCTCAAGAGGCTCTCGAGTTGTTGATCGAATTGGCCAGGACCGAGGTTGGTTCGAGGTCGGTGATGGAAAGGAAAGGGAGAGAGAGAGAGAGAGAGAGAGAGAGAGAGAGATAAAGAGAGCGGAAGGAAGAGAAAAGGAGAGAATGGGTTTTTTTTTATTTTTAATTTTTTTTAAATAATTTTTTTTAATTTTTTTTTTTAATACATCAGCCCCAATTAAATATCCCTAATTAAATATAGATATTTTTTAGGTCAAAATCCCTAATTAAATTTAAATATTACAATAATTATTTTTTAGTCTAACACCACTAAACATAGGTCTTCACTAGTTTTACAATCCAGCTTCTTAGTCCCACACAACACCAAACGTAGGTCAGTACTTAATCCAACTTAGGCCAATCCGAACTAATTCTAGACAAAGAATATGACAACACGTCACTCGAAGCTTGACATGACAAGCTAAGCCTAGTACTAAAAAAAGTATTTAAGATGTCATGTGCTCTTCCGTGTTTTTCAGAGTACAAATTAGATTTGATTGAGTGAATGAATTTTTCATCTTTTGTCCCGTCGGTGGAACACGTCACTCGCCCAGTCACATGCAAATAAAAGGATTTCATGTATTAGGCTGGTACTAATGCGAGACCTCTCTTGTTTATATATGACTTAACGGGTGATATGTTCCTCTGCTGGATTCAAGAATTTCTCTATATAAAGAGGTTCAATTATATTGTTTAATTTCTTGCTCAATCTATGTTCTTTAACACTTCCTCTACGACCCTTCGTAGAAACATGCTCCTTCAATTTGATTATTCTTAGAAAGTATAGACAAGCAACAAAAAAGAGAAAATTTTGGCTACCAACCAAAAGAACCATATTTATTGGTGTTAAGCAACCAAAACATAATTTAGATTATTATAAATAAACCCAATCCTAGATATGTATTTATAAAAAAACCCAAACACTATTTAAACATAGAAACACACCCAAAATCAACCCCAAAATCAACAATTGTATATTTTTTGGGTGTGTTTATAAATGGGTTTTGAGTGTGTGTAATGATGGGTTTTGGGTGTGTTTATAAAGTGTTTTGGGTGTTGGGTTTTTTTATAATTTCAGCCCCCATTTTGGGGTGTTTTAGTGAAACTCCCAACATAATTAAGAGGCAGAAAGTTTAGCCTTTTATGAAAATTTGCAACTCCATACTTTAAGTTGGTGACATTTTGATGACACTTGAGCTCTAGCTATTAATATTACACCTGCAAAACCAAAGATTGCTCAAATTTAAACTAAGGGAACACTCAAATTGTGCAAACTAGCTAGCTTTTCCTGTTGCACATGTTGAGCTAAAATTGCCATGGACATCATTTAAGTTCCACAAACCATCCCACGGAAAATTGTCCTCATTATTAGATGCTTCAGGCACAGACACGTTGCCATTGAGCATGGAATAGTAGAAACCTTGCTCCTGATGATTAGTTGTGTGATGAGGATATGTACTTGTAGTCTCCATGTCTTGCTTAACTTGAGGGCCAGAAGCATGGCATTTTATTGTCATTATTTTCATCCAACAAGGCCATGATTCTTTTCACCTCTTCTTGATTCATTTGCAAATGTTGTTGTTGTTGTTGTTGCTGCTGCTGATTGTGAAATTGCTTCCTCGTCAAGAAGCTATTTTTCTCCTTTTTAGGGGAATCGGAAGGCACTTTTTCCTTTTTCTTGAAATGGGTTCTCCAGCAGTTCTTGATCTCATTGTCAGTCCTTCTAGGCAAGCTTCTTGCAATTGTTAACCACCTGAATTTTTTCAAAAGCTGAAACTAAGCTCACTTGATGTATAATTTTACTATCTGAAAATTAGATAGTTAAATTCAAAAAATAAACTTGCAAGCACACAAGGTTAATGCAATATAGCCAAGGCAAGTACAAGGTCGTTCCCACAGAGACTGAATAAATTCTTAAGTTGTTGTGAATTATACACTTATTTAAATTCTAAATTACTCTAGACACCCTAACTAATAAATTTAAAACTAATGACTCAACTAAAAATTAAAGGAGTTTTGAAAGTTGGTTTTGAAAGATTTTCTTTAAAAGAAGTTGAAAATAAGAAAATTAAAAGACACAAATTGTTGTCTTGGTGAACTAAATAAGTTTGTGAAAGATTTTAAAGAAGCTTACCAAGACAACAATTTCACCACAATTCCTCTTATCCAAACCTTAGCATGCATGCTATCAAAATTCCCAAGTTATGTTAATAATTAGTTCTCCAAAATTATGATTAACTCTTTTCACAACAATTAACCATTTCTTCTTACACGCAATTTATCCTTGGCGTGAGGCATAAATATAAACATATAAAAAGACCTTAGGTTCAATGAGAACTTCACACAATCACACAAACCCCTAAGAGTATGGTATTTACCTTAGGCGCATTTATGAATTTAATCACAAGAAGCAAAACTCATATTAGGCATGACATATACCCTAACATGCATCAAATTATTAACCAAAAACCTAGATGGTAGCTAAGCATCAAGATCATTAGTTAAGAAAATAAGCACAGTGATTAAATTTCAACAGCATGGAAATTCTAATAGCATGACATAACTAAGCTTTGAATAATTAGAAAAGGGTTACAATTGTGTCTAAGTAAAAGAAAATTAGTTACTCATAATCATGGTAACAAAGCAAAAATAAAACATGGAGAAAGAGATAAGAAAAACCCTTAGAGTTTAGAGGCACAGTCGCTTTTCCTTTATACACGGTTGAATTCCGAAATTTCTGGTATATATCCTTCGAGCCCCTCAACCTCTGCTCTAAAAGGAACCTAAAACCTAGTTAGAATGGGCCTAAACAAGTGGCCTTACACGAAGACTTGATTTCCAAGTCAGTTCCTAACTAGAAAAGGTAATTAAAACTAAGTGTTGAGGCCCAAAAAATCAAGGGTTGGGCCAAATAAAATCTCGGCCCAGTGCGATACCTTATTAAGAAGAGACCCGATTTGGAGCATGCGAAAGTTCGTCATTCACGCTTGCACGAGTCACGATCCACGCGCCATGCCAAATAAATATGTAATCCACCACGCGCCATGCCGAAAATCATTATTATTACACCTAGCCACGCTACAAGCTTAAGTGGGCCCAAGCCATGCAAATGCCCGGGGCTTGCTAAGTGGGTTGTGGTATGGATGGTAACGAGTTTTCATGAGGCCCATTGATGAGCTGAGAAATGGAAGTTTTGGGCTGCTTGGAAGCCCCAAAACTCAAGCCCATTTCTTGAACCCAAATATATGGGTAAGCATAAAGGAGAGAAAAAAGCCCAATACTCTAGAAGAGATAGCCCAATATTTTAGGAAAAATTAGCTCATCATCTCAATAAAAATGGTCCATCACTTAGGAGGTTGGCCCATTCCCTTAATACACTAACCCATCACCTTAGGAAAGCCCAAGCAACCAAGAAGAAAATATATGCAATCTCCAGCACATGGCTGGAGACAAAAGCCTCGACAAAAGCCAAAGCTGCCTATGTATGTGAACTGCTAGGAGGCTCCAGCACATGGGCAAAGCAAACCTTAAGGCAGATAGTTCAAAAAACCAAAGGATATTGGCGCACGCAAGAGAAAAGGCAGCCTTCAGACCAGCCAAAGTTATCTATCTCCTTCCTTTACCAAACCTTGCCATGAAATAGGGGAGGAAAGAAGGAAAGGTGATAATCAAAGATAGGAAATCAACACTAAAGCAGCTGTGGGAAAAGCCTTAGAGCTCCCAAAAACCTTGTCTTTGTGTGTTTGGACAGAAAAGGATTTCACAAAATAGGATGAGTCAAAGGGAGAGAAGAGAAATGAAGGAGGAGACTTGGCAAAATTGGAGAAAAGCCATTAGGGTTTCTTGGGAAGGAGGAGCTTCCAGCGGCTATAAAAGGGGATGTCTCCTACCCATTAAAAGCAACTCAATCGAAGGCAAGCAAACCAGACCTAGAGAGCAAGCATCATCTCCCACTCCTGGAACCCTTCAATTTTGAGCCATATTCCTCCATCTCCTCCAATTTTCTCTTATGGCAAGCGATTCCAAATCTTGACAGAGTTTTCGTCAAGTTGCCAGAAACTACTCAACACACCCATTATACCCCCCATCTCTCTCTCTCTTCAACAAACCTTCTTAGAATCCCTTCCCCCTTTCCTTAGAAGCCCTGTTTCTCATAGGAATTCACAG